TATGTACTTTGTACATGTATCTTGTACATTTGGATGCAGTCTTGACCTTTGACCACTGTTATTGTGAAACACTGTCGGCCATTTTGGCAGTCTCGCCGTGGATTTTCGAGCCGTTTTTCGAGCAAATTTCAACCGTTTTAAACATTTCACGGCCTCAAAAACTCATATAACGAGGAAAGCAAGTTGTAGTTGTTATTTTCATGCGTAACATTTCTTCTGGGGATGGATTATTTTTCCGCCGAGCTGCCGAAAACTAGTGTCATGCCTCAACCATGTGGTCGGGCGCGGCCGGCCGGCGGGAGTATCGGTGAGAATTCACGATGTAAACAAAGACATTCGGAGTTGTGTACATTAAAATTTTGTTGTGAAACGCCAGCGGGGTGTCAGATTTTCTACCAATAACAAAGTTTTCTCTGCGGCGTCATGGCGAGATCGACAATTCATCGTCAATTCACAAGATTGTGCCGGCAATGGAATGAATAGTGGCCCGATTAGCGCTCGATCCACGCCGCCTGGCCGAAGAAAATTGGAATGACGAGCACATTTATCGGGGATAAAATCCCCAATTTTGAAAATTATCGGGGAAATGTTGGAATAAAATCCCTAATTTTGAAAATCTATGTTCAAACTTTTATGTTCAGGACCGAAAATTTGTCCTGAACTTGGTTTGATCAGAGACATTGTACAAGAAGGCTTCTTGTATAATGTCCTTGGTTTGATTCTGAAAAAATAATAAACGTACCGTCTAAAATAAGAACGTACCGGGCGGATTTCGAAGCGAAAAAAAATAAACGTACCGGTACGTTTAATAGAGAGCTGAGAGTAAATACCAGTTTCACCTGATGTAAATTGTCTAATTACCTCAAACTCTGCATAAGCCTTTGTGCAGGTGAGTAGGGGTGTGCAGCCATGATTGTTGACCTGTGTGGCTTGAGACACAAGGGCTGCCTTTGCTTCCTCTCCCTACAGTCAACAGAAGGAATGGTAGAATCATAGCCAGAATGATGGATACATCCTTTTTAATTGTAAAACACAAAAAGGCATTATCTTACACTGTGTTGTTACAATCATCTGACAAAGACAATCCGCAGGTACACACCTGTTCAACAAGGACCTGGAGAATTTCAGTCAGGTCCTCAAGCATACAGTTCTTAGCCAGCAGGTGAAGGGTGGTGTCCTTGTCCTCAGTGGCACTGGATGCTGAAATAGTTCCTCCTCGCTTCACCAGCAGACGGACTAAACCCACATTGAACTGTAAAATCAGTTTCAAAACCATAAACTTTGGCTAATTTTCAAAGAATGATTGGCGTTGGAATATATTGAAATATGGCACAAAACATAAAGTGGACTTGCAACAAAGCAAAAAAATAGTAATATTAATATATATATATAGTGTAATCTGTGA